TGTATGGTGTTCATGTGGCTGTGTTCACCGATCACAAGAGCCTTCAATATGTGTTCATTCAGAAAGAGCTTAATCTCAGACAGAGAAGGTGGTTAGAGTTACTCAAGGACTACGACATGAGTATTCTTTACCACCTAGGTAAGGCTAATGTTGTTGCTAATTCCTTAAGCAGGTTGTCTATGGGTAGCACCGCCCGTGTTGAAGAAGGAAAGAGAGAGTTAGCAAAAGATGTGCACAGACTGGCACGCCTGGGAGTCAAACTTATGGATTCCACAGAAGGAGGAATAGTGGTGACGAATGGGGCTGAGTCATCATTAGTGTCGGAAGTAAAAGGCAAGCAAGACCAAGATCCTATTTTGCTTGAGTTGAAGGTAAATGTTCATAAACAAAAAGTGTTAGCTTTTGAACAAGGGGAAGATGGTGTGTTAAGATATCAAGGAAGATTGTGTGTACCAATGGTGGATGGGCTCCAAGAGAGGATCATGGAGGAAGCTCACAGCTCCAGATATTCCATCCATCTGAGTTCCACAAAGATGTATCGCGATTTGAGAGAAGTCTATTGGTGGAGTAGCATGAAGAAGGGCATTGCAGAATTTGTTGCTAAGTGTCCAAATTGCCAACTAGGGCTGGGCATTCGGTATTTCGGTTTGGTTTCAATTTTTTTTTTTGATTTTTGGTTCTTGTACAACGTGTACCGAACTGAAATAACTCGATTCGATTTCTGTTATTTCGGTTTATGTTATTTTGAAAAAATTATTTCACAATAAATTCACACACTAACTAGTAACAAAAGCAAAAATCAAAAAGAAAAATAAATGAAAGAAGAAATATTCATTTTGAAACTTGTTAACTTAAAATGGAAGAAGAAATACAATACCTATGGTGGTCGGTGGAAGTGGAAAGTGGTCGATGATCGGCTCACGGCTGGCACCTGGCTGTGTGGAAACTGGAAAGGTCGGCTGCTATGTTGCGGCTGCCTGCTGGTCGACTGGCGGTTGCTGCGTGCTACTCTTGGTCGTCGGTCGCCAAAACTCAGTCGATGCTGCTGTAGTCTGTGGACATGGGAACGTGGGAAGAAGGATGGCCACTTTTGGCCTTTTGGGAACTGTAAAGTGGAACACATGAAAAGTAACATAAGTTTGAAAAGACAAACTTTTGATTTGACCTACTTTTGCTTTTTATTTTAAATTATATTTAATATTAATAATTAATATAATATTAATATATATTATAATATAATATATTTTGGTAAACCGAAATACCGAATAACACAAAAATTACATACCGAAAACCGAACTAAAATACCGAAAAATACAAAAACGTATACCGAATACCAAGCTGAAAACCGAAATACCGAAATAATTTGGTTCGGTTCGGTTTTTCGGTGTTTATGCCCAACCCTATTGCCAACAAGTTAAAGTAGAGCATCAAAGGCCCGATGGTTTGGCTCAGAATATAGAGCTTCCGGAATGGAAGTGGGAAATGATTAATATGGACTTCATCACAGGTTTGCCAAGATCTCGCAGACAGCATGATTCTATTTGGGTGATTGTCGATAGAATGACAAAATCAGCCTATTTTCTGCCGGTAAAGACTACCCATTCAGCAGAAGATTATGCCAAGTTATATATTCAGGAGGTAGTAAGACTTCATGGAGTCCCAGTCTCCATATTTCAGATAGAGGTGCACAATTACTGCACAGTTCTGGAAATCTTTTCAGAAAGGTTTTGGTTCAAAGGTAAACTTAAGTACTGCCTTTCATCCTCAGACAGATGGGCAAGCAGAGCGCACTATTCAGACATTAGAAGATATGTTGAGGGCCTGTGTGATCGATTTCAAAGGTAATTGGGATGATCACCTACCCTTTATTGAATTCGCTTACAACAATAGTTACCACTCTAGCATCCAAATGGCTCCATATGAAGCTCTTTATGGGAGAAGATGCAGATCTCCTATTGGATGGTTTGAAGTTGGTGGAGCAGGGTTGATAGGACTAGATTTAGTTCATCAAGCCATGGAGAAGGTGAAAGTGATTCAAGAGAGGTTGAAAACAACACTGAGTCATCAGAAATCCTACACTGATGTTAGGAGAAGAGAGTTAGATTTTGAAGTAGATGATTGGGTATATTTGAAAGTTTCACCCATGAAAGGGGTTATGAG